GGGAGCGCCGCCGGCGCCGCAGGCCTGGCTCAAATCGGGCCCTGGCATCCTGGCGTTGGCGCCCGGGAACTAGGTCAGGAGACGGGGGTCCGGCGTGCCCGGGCAGGGCAGGGCTAATCTGGTTCCCGGGGCGGCCGGGGCCCGAGTGGCCCCGCGGGGGTGGCCGAGGGCGCAGTTCCCGAACGCCGCACCGGGCCGGGACTTCTTCCTGCCCGCTGGCTCCAGCGCGGTCCCGGGTGCTTCCACAGCGCGGCTCGGCGGGGGCCCGGCGCGCTCAGCCTGCAGCCGCGGACCCCCGGGGCTGGGGGACTCAGACCGGAGGGCCCGGGGAGCTGTCCGGAGGCCTTCCAGGGGGCCCCAGCGGGGTCCTGAAAGAAGCACGGGAGTGGGGGACCCACGCATGGAGCCGCATCCTGTCCTGGCCGGCCGCCCTGCGCCCGGGGCCCTAGGGAGGGGCAGGGCGCGGCGGCCAGGCTCTTACAGGCCCCCTGGCGTTGCAGGCTCCCCGGCACATCTCTGGTCGCTCTGGTTGGAAAGGCCCCACCCTGCTTCCCTGCGCCCCCACCTCAGTGATCCTTCCCCAGGAGACCTGCCTGTGCTCAGCTGAGTGGAGTCCACCCCTCGCCTCAGGGGGCTTGCTCAGTGCCCCCTCAGGCTGGTGCTGACCGCATGGTCTCTGTCCCCTTCTGTGCAGGGCTGTCCCCTGAGAGGACAGTGCTGTCAGACCCTCGTGCCCCAGCCCCCTCAAGCTGCATCCGGGACCAGCTGCTGTGGGCCACCCCTCTTGCCTCCAGCCATGGTGCCCCTGCTCAGCCTGGCCCTGCTGGCCCTGGTGGGCCTACCTCTGGGTAAGGTGGGGGGGCAGAGGGATGAACAGACCCACGTGTGGGCACAGGTGGCTGAGAGTGGGGGAGGGAGGCCCGGATTCCCTCCTGTTATCTCCCCTTGGGGGGTTGAGGGGTGGGGTCTGTGATGCCCTGTCCCCAGCTCCCAGCCCAGGCTCTGTCTCCCCTTGGGGGGCATGAGGGGTGGGGTCTGTGACACCCTGCGCCCAGCCCCCAGCCCAGGCACTGTCTCCCCTTGGGGAGGTGAGGGGTGAGGTCTGCACTGCCCTGTCCCTGGCCCCCAGCCCAGGCTGTCTCCCCTGGAGGGAGTGAGGGGTGGGGTCTGTGACTCCCTGCCCCTGGTCCCCAGCCCAGGCTCTGGACTGCCATGTGTGTGCCTACAACGGTGAGAACTGTTTTAACCCCATGCGATGCCCAGCAATGGTCTCCTACTGCATGACCACACGGACCTGTGAGTGGGCGGGGCCATCCCCAGGACCCTGCCTTGGGGAGTCCCATGGGTGGAGAGGCTCTCCCTGACCCTGGGAGGGTGGGGAGACCCTCAAGGAAGGCTCCCAGGTGCCCCGGGGAGCTGAGGGCCATGGTGCCCAGTCTGAGAGGGGCCTCACCCTCATGGCTGCCTGCCGGGTTCAGCCAGCCAGGTCCCAGCGCTGGCAGGGTGACGCCCCCCCCCCCTGCAGACTACACCCCATACAGGATGAAGGTGAGCAAGTCTTGTGTGCCCAGCTGCTTCGAGACAGTCTATGACGGCTACTCCAAACACGCCTCTACCACCGTCTGCTGTCAGTACGACCTCTGCAACCGCGCAGGCCTCACCGCCCCTGCCACCCTGGCCCTGGCCTCCGCACTCCTGGTCACCCTCTGGGATCTGCTCTGACACCCCAGTGACCTACCCCTGGCAGCACCCCTCATGGACAAAGCTGTCAAGAGGCACCGCCTGCCCTTGCCATGCACATCCCTGCCCCCAGCCTCTGCCTACCCCAGGGCCCACCCAGGACTCAGCCCGTCCACTGGGGCAGGCAGGACCTCCCCCAACCATCTCACCATTCCTCTCCAAAGTGGCTCATTTGGGACTGAGCCCCAAAGAAGTTCGTAGCCCCAGTGGGAGAGCTCAGTCCCTCCTGTCTCCAGGGGTGGGGATCTCCAAGTGTGTACCAGGAGGGCCCCATGGGTGACCACACCCAGTAAAGGGGGCTGGCTGGCATGCCCCACCTTCCTGACAGCCCAGGAGCCGGTTCTAGACGAGGGTGTGCTAGGGGACGTTAGAGAGCCCTCCTTCCAGACCTAGAAGGGCTCCTGGACCCCAGGGACACTGTCCCTGTGCCTCCAGCTGAGGCCCTGAGCCACTCAGGTGAGTGTCATGTGAGGAAGGACTGTCCCTGTTAGTTGTCCTAGAACAAGGCCTGGGTGTCCGAGCAGCTTGGCCTAAGAGGTTCTTCCAATCCCAGAGTTCAGTCTCATCAAGTAAGGATCAGGGCTGGGTGCCCATGGCCTGGGGCTGGCAGGGGAGGCCCAGGGCCCTGGAGTTGGGGCACCCCCCACTCACTCTGACCCCCTCACCCGGTGATGGCTTTGTACCCCCTACACCACCCCCCCGGATCCTGATCAGGCCGCAGCATCTTCTTCCGGGACAGGGCTGCAGCAGCCACCCCAGCCCAAGAGCTCCCTCCTCCCACCAGGTGCTCCCCACCCCACTGGGTGCTGGCTCTCCAGGAGAGCCCCCTTCTGACATGGGGGGCCCAAGAACCAGCATTGTTTAAAGCCCCCTACCGCTGTGAGCCCCATCTCCTGCCAGGTGTGGGAAGCATGGGGCTGCCCAATACCCATCATCCAAATTCTAGAGGCCCCATCACACAACATGGGGAGGGACCCGGAGCACCTGGCTGTTTGTCACCTGACCACGGCCCCCAGCTCGGGTGAAGGGAGAACCCTGAGGGGCCTCTCAGGCTGGCTCAGCCCAGCTGCCAAGTGGGGAGGTTGTCCCCACCATGAGCCCGTCAGGTCGTCTATGGCCGACATTCCACTTGCGGGCCTTTGGTCCAGGCTAGACTGGTGTAGGCTTGAGATCTGGGGACTCGGGCTGGGGAGCTGGTTCCGGTCTCCTTGTCTCACCTGTGAGGGGCCAGGATGTGGAGGAAGCAGGAATGGGAAGGGGTTCTTTGGTGACTCAGGAAGGAAGGTGGTAAGGGCCTGGGGACTGGACGTGCACATGGCTTCCCAGAGGCTCTGGGTGGACAGGCTTTCATCCTGGGCCGGGAGGCAGGAAGGGGTTGCAGACAGGCAGGCGGCCTGGAACGGGCGCAGCTGCTGGGTGAGGCTGAGCCCAGAGTTTGGGGCCAAGCCCAGACAAGCTCTCTCCTAGACAGACTGTCCCAGGCCTTGGGCTGCCTCTGCCAGGAATCAGCTCCTGTTCCAGGTGTCCCAGGGGTGGCCAAGAGGGGACTTCCCTTACGCCCAGTCCTACAGATCGATTGGGGTCAGGATGTTGGCTGAGAGGGGGACACTGGGCGCCCCCGGAGACAGTACTGACTCAGTGGGAGAAGCCAGGGAGCAGTCACGGCTGCCCTGCTTAGGCAAGGCTGTCTTCACCCCCAGTGCAGGATGGGGTCCTACCTCCGGCCTGCCTTCCTGGGGCAGAGGCCCGGCTGGGCACCAGGACCTGAGAGCAAGGCAAGAGCTACAGAGGTGGGGGACTCCCCTGCCTTCCTGCATCCCTCTGTCCACCCCCGTTGCCCTGAGCCAGCCCAAGCCAGCACAGACTCACAGCTCCCACCATGCTGCTCCCCGACCCCCCAGACAGTCTGTCCCAGTGGCTCCTGTCCCTGTTCCTAGCCCAGAGCACACAGGAGGCATTCAACACTGGCCCTGCCCAAGAAGCCAGACTGGCTACTGGGGAAGGGGTGGGGGGTGCTGCCTGAATAAATGCAGGAATCCAACCGGTAGTCACCCGCGACCATGTCATGAATGTGACCACTAGCATGTGCCCCTGCCGCACCCCTTGGCCCAGGCCCAGAGTGCCCAGTAAGCAAAGTGAACGTTAGTGTATGAACACGAGAGAGCCTTGGTTACCCTGCTTATGGGGTGATGTGCCCTGTCTCCACCACCCCGCCAAGTGGGGGCTGCTGTGGTGGTGGTTACAGGCCGCCAAGTCAGCTCCGACTCACAGCGACCCACGCACAGCAGAGCAAACACTGCCCAGTCCTGCACCAGCTCACGCTCCTCGCTATTCCTGAGCCACTGTTACTGTCAGGTGCAGTCATCTCCGACCCATAGTGACCCCGTGTACAACAGAACAAAACACCGCCCGGTCCTGTGCCAGCCCCACGATCCTTGCTGTATCTGAGCCCATCGTTGCAGCCACTGCATCAATCCATCTCGTTGAGGGCCTTCCCCTTTTTCGTTGACCCTCCACTTTACCAAGGATGACATCCTTCTCCAGGGAATGGTCCCTTCTGACAACATGACCAAAGTAGGTGAGATGAAGTCTGGCCATTCTCGCTTCCAAGGAGCATTCCAGCTGCACTTCTTCCAGGACAGATCTGTTAGTTCTTCTGGCAGCCCATGGTACTTTCAGCATTCTTCACCAGCACCACCAACTCTTCTTCAGTCTTCCTTATTCATCGTCCGGCTTTACGTGCATATGAGGCGACTAAAAACACCATGGCTTGTTTTAGGCGCACCTTAGTCTTCAAGGAGACATCTTTGCTCTTCAGCACTTCAAAGAGGTCTTCCACAGCAGATTTTCCCAGTGCAGAGGATGGGGCCAGCTACTTCTCAAAGATATGGCCAGCGAGAACCTTCTGAATAGCAGTGAGATGCTATCTGATACATGACTAGTGTGCCCCTTGTGCGGTGATGCGACTGAAGCATGCAGCCTGAGAGAGTCCCAGGCTGGCTGGAGCCCACGCCCACTGAACCCTATCCGCACAGTGTCATCACTTCCCCCACCAACTGGGAGTCCTGGAGGCAGCCTCTCTACGCAGAAGGGGCTGCTTCTCAGCCTAAGGGGACACCACCACGTTGAGGGGTGAGGGTGGCATAGTTGAGGGATGGGGGGGCCACAGGGCAGGAAACTTGCTGGGGGCAATCGGACGCAGAGATGAGAGAAGCAGAGATTCAAGGGTCTGGCCTTGTGGCAGGGCACGGGGGCATGGGATGGGCGGGTAGAGAGGGGGACTAGGAGGGCAGGGGACACCGCCGGCATGGTGGGAGCTGGCCCGAACCTCACCTGTGCCAGCCAGCTCCACCCTAGGGGTCTGTGCAGAAAAGAACCCTGCAAAGGGGAGAGCAGAGGGTCGCAGGGCATAGCTGCGTCTGTGGGTCGGAAGTTGGAGGTGGCCTAGCTGCGTGTCAGGAGTTGCTGCCTGAACACCCCGGCCGGTGGGGCCAAGGATGTCACACATGCTCCACAGGGAAGGAGCCAAGCGGCCCACATCACCCCAGGTGAGCACAGGTGTGCTGAGGTGTGGCCACGTGCTACCTGCGCCCACATCCCTATCTGGAGCTTGGATTTGTGGCCAAGAACCTGTGTTTCAAACTCTGAGAAAGGGAAGGGAAACGGAGCGGCCCTTCCTTCCTGCCACATTGTTCTGAGCAGAGCAGTCAGTCCCACAGCCCACCTGCAGGACCCTGACACTTGGTTGGCCCATCCACACGATGGGAGCAATAGCTCCCGAGGCCCGGTGAGAGCCAGCCCACGGCCCGGCCCACGTGCTCCATTCCCTCTGCCCCCCTGCTGCCCCTGCCCCATTCTCCACCCAGCCCCCCGAGAGGTCCCACCGGTGTTTCTGCACGAATGAATGAATGAGTGAGCGGCTGAGCTCGGGCGTGCCTTCCCCTCGCTGCCCATGGAGCTTGGCTCAGGCCCCCGCTTCTGTCCACTGTGGCTGCTCCTCCTGGTTGGTCCTGCCGGCTTCGTGGGCCCTGACTCCCGTCCACCCTGGGGCTTGCAGGCGGCACTTCTTCAGCTGCCAGTAGCAGGGAAGGTCCATGTCCCTTCAGTCCTGACCCTGCAGCCCAGCCCAGGGCAGGAGAGGGGTGACCGGTAGGAGGGGTGAGCAGGGTGGCCCTGGCCCTGCACCCTCTGGTCCTTGGCAGAAAGGCAGACTTAGCCACAGGCCCACCAGCTCTCTTGCAAGGGCAGGAAGGCCGAGGGAGTGGCGCAGGGTATGGGTGGCAGGGACCCCGAGGTCCCCACTGCCTTACACTGCTCCTCTAGCTCTGACCCCAGCTCCTCCCCCTCCTGGGAGGGAGGGGTTCTTTGTCTGCCAGCCTCCCGCCCAGCCCTGCAGCCCATCCCGTAACCCCCCACACACAGCACCTGCAGCCCTCCTGATAACCCCACACACATACCCAGCACCTGCAGCCCACCTGACACCCCCACCCCCAGCACCTGCAGCCCACAGACAGAAGGGTAAAAGGCACTGGGGCAGCTGGGATCGCACCCCCCTGCAGCCCCCAGATCCCAGCAGGTGGCGTAGCTGTCCGATGCTGCGCCTGTCACCATCCTAACTCCTCAAAACCAGGGCCTTTCTCCTCCCCCTCCTCGTGCCAAGACCCACCCCCAGCTACAGAACTGGGACAGACAGGGTCACTGCTCAACCAAGAAGCTGGTCACAGCCTTGGGAGGGGTCAGGCCAGGCCTGGGGGCCCTGGTGTCAGAAGGGGAAGCTGACGCCTCCCAAGGGGATCTCACGCTGTCCTCGCCCAGGGCTGGGGGCTGCCGGCCTGAGTTCCGCTGGCGTTTTAAGGAGGTGGGCTCATGGGCCATCTCGGCCAGGGGAGCGAGAATCCGTCATCGCTGAGCTCTGTGCCAGCCCACCCCAGGTCCTCTGGACGGGCCATCCCTGCCTCCCGGACAAGGAGGACGTGCCGGCC